CTTTCGCGCAACACAGTACAAAATAGCAGTACGCCAAAGTACATTAATAAGCGTTAAACTGTTCTAAAACTTGTTCATTAAGTTAATTGCATCCACGTTTTTAATTTAATGGGGTGGAGGGTCATTGTTTTGGCTACTAACCAAAAGCTGATACAAGATTAATTTAGCACCGCAGTAAGTAAATACCACGGAAACCATAGATACCTTCTTAAATGGCTCCCTTAAGTAACTGAGAGCAAAGCACTCTGTAATACATTCGAAGATCGTAAGATTTAAGTTCCTGAAAAAAGCTAAAAGTTTACTGCATAAGCAAGGTCTCAAGAGAACCTTGCCATTCAGCACAGATAGAAAGAAATAAAAACTATACTTTAATTAAATAACAGCTAAATAGCAGTGAGAACAAAATAACGACTAAGACAAAAGACGAAACAGTAAACTAAACTGCCAGGTGTAATCTAGGATAAACAGGATAGAAACGAGGTTCCCTCAGATGAATGCTAGTGTGGCATTAACAACAGAATTCAGAATACGAAATTTCAGGATAGCCTCATTTTTAACTGCACTTCGCCTAGGTCGAGAATCATGACTGCGAGGATGACAGTGGAGACTCGCATGGATGATTTCAATGGCAAAATCACACTGTACTAAATTCAATGGGTAGACCCAGGATCAGACATCTCGATGATATATAGCACTGGCGTTGTTGCACCTTGCATTCCAGATAAATGAGCTTGCAATACTGACGGAGGACAGGATAAAGCAGTTGTCAATAATTAACATCGTAAATTCAGCAAGAAATTAAATATCATATTCTGATCATACGCCGGAGCATGCCAAAATATGCAGACTTCTCCAAGACTAGATTTCACGAGGTACTGCACTACAACTCTGCCTAGGGGGAAAGGAGGCATTTATGCGGGCTACGGTTCGGTGGTATTTGAGAACTTGCAGTACCAGACTGATGTGACATGTATCTGTCATTGAATGTGCTAAATACCACGGAGCTGCGGTTTGCTTAAATGATTCCACAGGTAACTACGAGAAAAGGGGCTGCGCAATAACGTCTGAAAGCTGGCGTTGGAAGAATTACGCGTCATTAAGTAATCAAATAAGAAAAATGAGGCAAAACGTACTGAAACTCGACCAAACGAAGCCGATGACGGACAGAACTATACGACTGACGAACAAGAATAAGCTCGGTTTCATGGTCAAGAACATGATCTGACAGACGACAAGTGCCAAAGCCAAGGGAAGCAGGCAGTAGCCGAGGACACATAGTGTTTGAAAGAAGGAGCTAAACGTATGCATGTACAGCAAACTCACATCGCAACAAGAAACTCACATGTTGCCTCCGAGAAGCTTCGTATTGATCGTCACCACGCAAGCGCCGCACCAGATGACGATGAACGCCTCGGTGAACTGAGGTCCTCGAAGACTGCCTGAGCCGTCATGCAGAAACCTCAAAATAACGGCGTCACGTAACACATCCTACACACGCGGAGGCCACACCTACATGGACATCAACACGCACAAGAACAGCGGTCCCCATAGGTCCCCTAGAAACGGCCAAAAGTCAGCTATCATGCGGTAAGTCGGTAAACTCTCGTGTTACAGTTTCTTAACAGCTGCTGGTTTGATTTCGGTTTGAGCACAAGAAAAAACTTCTCTGATACCGAATCGAGATCTCGTTTCTGAAACGAAATTCAACCTGTGTTGCCTGAAACATTGCAGCACTTACAATCGTCCGCCAAACGGGCTCATCCAAGTCTTCGTCGCCTTTGCCATTCTGGGCTTCGGCACTACCTGGTACCTCAATCAGTCCGCGTATCTGACTTTCGTCGATATCCACAGATGCCTAAGCATTGAAATACATGACGCTTCAAACAACCTGAATAAGAGACACACCAAAATTTAACAATGCAGTTATGCGTACATTATCGTTTAGTGAAGAATCCGCAAGAAGAGGCTGCTTTGAATAGGTCGCTTCACTTTCCTCCATCTCAATTCCATAGACATTACAACAGTAAGCCACATGATTTGCCGGTTTTGTTGAAAGGGGCTGCTTCGACGACTAACTACTGAATGCACC